ATTTCTTAGAAACTTTCTTTACCTGTTAATTTACTGTTATTTAGTTTAAGTTATGCAGGTGATGACCTCTTGTGGACCTGAAATCTTGAGCTTAGATAATGGTTATGACAAGTTTCTGATGCCAATGGCAAATTTGCACTGTATATTGAAAAAGAAGGATGAGCTTTTGTTTTTTGATGATGACTGAGCCTTTCAAGTTTGTGAATCTGGACCTATTTTGAGAAAAATAGTTCTCCTGCCTGGATCAACAACACTTGGATGGTTTCTGAGCCTTTTAGGTTTCGTTTGAGATGGTTTTCTTACTGTTTCTTGAAGCAGCTTTATAGTAGACAAATCTTATTTTTTGTACTAAAAAATTATTTTAAGAAACAGTAAGAAAGTCGTCCCAAACGAAGTCTTAGTCTACTAGCACTCATCAATAATAATTCTGAGAGTCTCATCAGGCTGATACAATCAAGACATTCTTCTCTTCCTAAGCATCAGCCTTATCTCAATTGTGTTTTGTTCTTCATCAGCATTCCTTATCTCAACTCTTTGTGCTTTATGAATCTCTTTTGATTTCATTTCTTCTGAGTATTGGCTTAGATGTAAGGTATATTTTTATAATATTATTCATATTATCTTAGTTTTATAATTTCTATTAATTTGATCTGCTAATTTCATGAATTTTTTTAACTTTGTTTTGTATGTATTTGAATCATTTTAATCTATTTGTAATTATGTTTTTCAATATATATTCACACTAATTAATTATTAATATCTTCAGCATACTTAAATATCACTGTTTTCACCTTAAAACAAGGGAGCCACATAAGAAAAAAATTAATTAGGACATTTTGATGCAAAAAAAAATTGTCATATGTTAAAAAAAAATCAAAGCATCAAGTCCCAATGCTTCATTTGGGACGGCTTAATTATTGTTTCTTTGAAATAATTTTTTTATTAAAAAATTAAAAGTATAATTGACTAATAGTTAAGCCCAAATGCTTAGTGAAACTAAATTAACCAAATTAGATTCAACTTGACACAATAAAGCCAATTTTATAAATTGTTAAAAATCCAATGACTGCATGTAACAACGCAAGTTCTTTAACTATCGAGATATTGTCAGCTTGGCCTAAGAGTCTCGCGATTTTGTCTTATTGGTGTAACTTCCCAGGAGATCACCCATCCCAGGATTTCTTCGGGATGAGTATGCTTAACTGCAAAATTTTTTTAATGAAATTCTAATCATTACAACAAAAAGGTGCCTCGATGTTTAAGAGTTTAGCTCCTCAACTTAAGTAACTGACATCCTTATCAATATCGTATCCTTATCCCAGAATCATCCACCATGCATATATGATTCTAAATGTGGCACCTACATGCAGATATGATTCTAAAGGTGGCCCCTACAAGTTCAAGTGGTGACTCTCATTACATAGTTCTCATCTTCCTACTACTATATTGCTCTGATACAATTTGTAACATCCCAAACTCTTAAATATTCAGATATTATTCGCTTTGGTTTAAGAGCCTCATGATTTTGTCCTATTGGTGTAATTTCTCAGGAGGTCACCCATCCCAGTATTCCTTCGAGATCAGCACACTTAACTGTGGGATTTTTTTAATAAAATTCAAATCATTATAGTAAAACATGTCTCTATGTTTAAGAATTAGCTTCTTTTACTTAAGGGATTTCACACTACATTAGATTCCTAGCATCTAAACGTGCTCTAATTGAGACTAATATATCATTAGACCAATATAACCAAATTTAAACCCAAATTTCTTGGCCTCTTAATCCCTATTCCATCTCAGAGTTTGATGAGAACAAATAAGAAAAAAAAATGGTTTTATAGTTTAATTAGAATTATGCACATAAATATGTCCTAACATTAATACATTAGACTGACATATGAATAATGAGCTTAGAATAGAAATATGTTCTTCTCTTAAGATATAAGATTAGCCAAAATAAAATATCAAAGAAGGTAATAAAGCAAGCCAAATAATAGGTTAAAATATGCATAAGAAAAAAAAAATCTTTTTTACATATATAATTTTAAAAAAAATAACAAACTATTTTTAAATTTCATAAAATGTTTAGAAAAGAGAGCTAAATCAATTTTTTTAAAAAAAATGTGTAATAAATATTTTTACAAATTTATAAGGCAAAAATTAAGTATGTTTATGACTATCCATAATTTTATGAGCCTTCATAAATAATTAATGAGCCATCACAGACCAAGCACTAAGCACTAGCAGGCCTACACGCTCAGTTATGGCCCACTATTTTTGGCCCAAAAAGATGAGAATTGTTGGGCTTCCACAAAGATTTATAGGACTCCACAAGCCCCTTTATGGGCCTCCATAACATGCTGGGTATCCACAAACTAAATTGTAAAAAAATGTATCATGTAAAATCATCCCATTATGAGGATTATTACTGGTCATAAATAGTAATTTAGCCTAATTAAACCAAAATGTTTATCATTATTTTAGAATAATAATATAAAAGAAATCCTAGAAATTTTGGGGTCATATGTATAAATACTCATGTTAAGATTTGAAAAATAAGTGAAGTTCTAAAAATCCTAGCCACCAAATTTTCGACACATTACAAAAATAATTTCATCCTAACTCCGAAGAAAAAAAAACGTGAAAGAAAAGAAAAAGCTTGCAACGCTATTGTGAAACATGTTCAATCTTTATTTCTCTACAGGGGTGGAATCAGGAAAAATCCAGTGGCCACTTGCCCACCCTAAAATCTTTTTTTTTTCTTAAGAAAATAAACATTTTAACTATTTTGTCCACCTTGAATAAATATAATTGCCCAAATTCTAATAAAAACTTCTTGATTGAAAGTTTAAGCATAGAGAGAGAGAGAATGCCTTCTTGATCACCATACTTTTTGCGTATGTTCTTCCATAAAAAATAGTGGTTCCGAGCCATCCATCCATCCAGTGCCATAGCTGACATTACCAATTTGATGATGCCGTCAAGAGGCGAACCAAAGTGCGCCACATCACCTCTTTGATTTATACCATGATTGTATACCCACTATGTATCAGATGATGTGACACGCTCTGATTCACCTTCAAACGGTCTAGCATCTACACAGACTAATTTCTCCACAACTCGCGTCTTCTCTCTCATCCAATGCTTCTCTATTTCTCTCCTTCGATGAGTGAAAGAACACTGAAATACATCTGAACAGAGTTTGGGTTTTTTTATCAAATTTCAAATTATAATATTTCTTATAATAAACAGTGATCATCTGTTAAAATTATTAAAATATACAGTAAAGGCATTCTAACCTTTCAGGATGATAAAACACCACCACAACAATATCTACAAAAATTTTAAAAAATAAAAATAAGTGCCATTTACTCTACATTTACAGAACAAAAACAACCAAACAGCTCAATTGTTTATAAAATGTTTTCATACAAAACTTCTCAACCAAGATCATGAACAATAAAAAACTGACTTTTTTTAAAAAGCCAACACTATTCTTCCATCTCTTCATCAGATCATAAATAGAACATTACGGCCATAAATATCTTCAAAATAAAAAATAAAAGTCTGAAAGCAAAACAAAGGTAATATTACAATGGTTCTGCAAGGAAAACTCTCTTGCTAGAAGATGCTGCAAAGCTATCTACTAGAACTCCTGAAGCAAACCTTGCTAGCTTGCAGGACCCACAAGCACACCCTGGGCAGACCCAGCCTTCCAGCCACCATCATCTTTGCTCTCACTGTCTGATTTTCTCACCTTGATCTTGTGCTTCACCTCAAACTCTGCAACTTCCTTCTTCTTCTTCTCCAATGCTTCATTGAGTCGCGCAATCACTTCCTGCAAGCCCTCCTTATTGCGTTGGACTGCAGGGAGAACCTCATTGATGGTCCTTTCAACCAGCACCCCACCAATCATGCGGAAGCAACGCCGTGAGGGATCGAGCGGCTGTATTGCCCCGATTACAAGGGAGTGTTCACTGACCTCCATCTCCAGCTCAGTGATCTTTGAGTAGAACTGGTTTATCTCAGAGCGCATGGAAGCATATATACTGGCAATTGCTTGCTCATTAATTGATGATTCCCTGTTCTCACTGCTGGCTTTACTTGCCATCTTCCACAGTACTGAAAACAAAATTCCAAACAAAAAAGACTTGGAAATAAGTTATCAAAAACGAAGAGCTGAATCCAGAACAGAATACTTTCACCAACAACATAGTCTTACACCAGCTTTTAACAGAGAACATGATTTTGTTTCTGTTGAAAACAAGCCCACCCTCTTACATTATAGTTTGAAAGGTACAAAGTGATTCAAATAATACAAATTGTATCAAAGTTGATATCTAGTGTTTTCTAATATGGATATCACTTCGTATATTAAATACTTTTCCAACTGCAAATAGGACCGACAGCACCCATGCTCACTTGAGCACAGCTAGGAAATCAACTTACGCACACAGCATATGGAAACAGAGCTAGCTGATGCATCAAAAACTATTAATTCCTAGAATATAGGGAAGCCCTTTACAAAACCTCCCAAGACGGATTAATTATTCTGTGCGGACACCAAACGTCATTCGGAGACCAACCAAAATGCGGCACGTTATAGTGCAAACAAAGTTATAAATAATTGGTTTGAAATCTTGATGATGATGATTGGGAGAGGGTTCTTAAGATTAAGAGCAACTTAGATATTTTTATAGTGTATAAAATAGCTATCCAACCTCAAATTTGTTTGTCTGCAAGTAGCCATCAAGGAAGTTATAAATAAAAAATCAAGGGATAAGATGATTTTGCTTTGCCTTAGTTTAAGGAAAATAAGTTTGACAAGTATTCTCTAAATGTAATTTGTTAATAGTCCTTGTGATTATATGCTTGATACATAAAAAAAAATGTTGTTCGACATGTTTTTAGGAAGATATATCCCTCCATAAACTTTCCCAAGTATAACTGCAGAAAGTTATCTCCAATTTTTATAGACTCTAATCATATTATCAGTGTCTCATAATGTGGCTCCATCTTCAGGTAGCACTTAAGTTTCCAATCATCTACGGCACAAGCTGCCACCTTGCAAAGGTAAATATACCACAACCTGATAGGAATATATCTATTTTGACTATATTTGATAATAATCATTGCTCGCTCAACTCAATCAAAAAACATTTAAATTAGAGACAAGCTTGGCCGTGCTCAATCTCCACCAGATAAAACGAATACATTTGATCACTTGGAATGGTAGAGAATGAGTTCTATGAAGTTTATCTTATCCACTAGATAGTCAAGGTATTCTTATTATGCTTATGAGGATTCATTCTCAGAATAAATATCCTCGTGTCAATTTTAAATACAAATTTGCCTCTTCATTAGAAGAGACTTTCATTTTTGGCAATTCATTACAAATCATTCATATTTTTTGTGTTTTTAATCTACATGTTAAATAACTATACTAAGGAACAGATAGTTGTAATTATATCTATAGAGGTGATAGGCTTAACATGTGGATGTTGTGCTTTTGCAATTATATTTGTTTAGTTTTGATCTATGTTAACTTTAATAAAGGATTTATGAACCTAAGACATTTTTTACGGTTGTAAACCAATGACTTATAACACTCATGATACACTCAGTTAGATATGCCTGAACAATATAGCTTATTACTTTTGGATGACTAATTGCTTAATTCTATTATTTTGCAGCTATAAGTATTCCTGTTGAAGATCATAATTACAGTACTCATTGTTGTGGATGCCTGACATTTTATGCTAGTTTCTTTTATTTTGTAGTTCTACTTGTTTCTTATTGATGATTATTAAAATAACTTCAGTTGGGGTATGTTTAGTTTGGTTCACCCTTGCATGAATAGAAAAGTAGAGAAGTTCAGCAATTCCTATATTGGTAGCTGAGCTAATATTAGATCAACCTAGATGCCTTGCTAGTCCAATGATTTGACCATATGGGTTTGGCTTGCCTCCTTTGTTGATCAGATGCCATGCTTGACGTTTCAACTAAAAATTTGGCCAAAGCTCAATATTTTAGATTGCATTTCCCTCTCCAATTGTTTAAGACATAGAAGACAGAGTTTCTAGCCATTTGTACGCATAGTAGCCTCCAATTCTGATCTTTTCATGATTTCGCATCTGATGAAAAATATCATGAAATATTTTATGTATGGTAGATGTACAGAAAAAGCTGCATCTATAGAAATGGAAGGTCTTGCAAGGATGGGGAAGTCCATCTGCAAATGGAAAATGAATACATGATAATCCCTGTACCTCCAATATCCTGCTCTCACAAAGTGCTCACATATCAAATGACTGCAGTGACAATCCCTGTCCCCCCAAAACTCTGCTATCACAAAGTGCTCTCATATCAATTTAACATAGCACGAATGCAAAAAAAAAAAAAATCAAGTTTGCCATTCAAATAAAATTCAAGACCGGCTCAGAGAATCACTGGGGTGGTTTTTTTTTTTCTTTTCACTATCTATGCCAGGCATCTCCTAGCTCTTTGCCAATCCATTTGTGACCTTTCTGCAGAATTAGATGACGTATGAAGGTACATTGCATGGTGTTATTGACATCACAGATAGATTTCTAGAGCTTCATAGGCTTGTTAACTTTCTTTCTAACAAGTAGCAAATGTTTCTATATAATCCTAGTAACTATGTGATCAGCTCATGATAAATATGTTATAATGATGTCCATGTTTTGTCAGAAATATTAGTATGAATCAAGAAAAAAATTGACTGTGATTGAGAGCTCATAATCATGAACAAAATGACTGATGTTCAATAATCACAAACTAAATTAAAAGCTAAAACACATTACTTACAAAAGGAAATATGGTCCAGTAACTTTATACAATGAAGCCGCTACATGTTTGTGATAATACCTGTATGCAATACTATGCAGTTCAAGCATCCTATATTTCATGGGTTGTGATTTGTGAGGATGTTGCTTTCCTAACCAAACTAGCAGAAGACTTCTCTTTGATATGGAGTGCTTGTGTAGTCACATTATATGGGCTGCATACTTTATAGATCTAAATTTCTATAATATAGATGTAGTACTTGGAACTAACGTCTAATTTGCTTTGGGGTTCTTCCATTTTAATGGGTCATTTTATCTTTTTTAATATGCATCAATGACTTTATATCTTAATTTTTCTTTAATTCTTTTTGGGTGATTTCATTTTCAACTTAAATCAACTTGAATTATAACTGTTTTCAAAACGAGTTTGATCCAAGAACCGGTTTAGAGTTTCAGACTTTCAGTTGACCCAACTTGCAACCAGCCCTACAAGTGCCCTACCAAAAATGCACATCTACCTCAAGTTCAAATCTAGGAAGTAAGACATGAAAAGCATTTTGGAAATGCTTCGGTTGCATTTTCAAATGCAACATTAATGAAGACAATTATCATGACGTTAAAAAAGAGTTACAGCATTCATCCAAAGTATGATCATATTGTATCCACTAAGGAATCATCAGATGGCTTAGATCACATAGGAATTTGATTAATGAGAGTTAGAATCTTTATTACTTGTTAAGATGAGGGATAATTGATATGTTGACCTTGAAACTAGTTGGTGTGTAGTAGATTTAATTCAAATAAATAGTAAGCAGATACATCCTACACTTAGCAAATGACTTATTCCCTGGATATATGATGGCAAGAAATGGAAAAGATGGATTTGTTTTCTAGAAATAAAATTAAATGTATATCCACTTTTCTGAGAACATTATGACAAGTTGATTGTCAAAACTTTTGCGCTGAAATGCAGGGCATAAACACTACTAATATTTTTTTCCCTGAAAATTGCATGCTAAACAGAATAAAAATGAAACTCCCAAGTAGTTTAACATAATTCTAAACCCTTTAACATTTATTTCTTTAGTATTAGATTTCATAAATCTAAAAAATGTATTTGGCATTTTAAAAAATGCATGAGTTTCAAAAATTGGTGCTTTCCCACCCAAAGCATCACTACACTTCTAAGAGTATTACAATTTTCAGGGATCCTCAATCACACATAGATTACTTCAAATAACACAATAGTTCTTAAATCTAATGGAAATGACAATATTTCTAAAACAGATGCAAAGTTCAACAACATAGAGCCATTGATCCAAAATTGTCGATGGCAGAAAAAAAAATTGATCCAAAATTGTGAAGAATAAAGAACGAAGAAAATTTATTGTTTTGTAGTGCAAATCAATTTGTGCACTTCATTCAAGGATAAGTAAGCTTCATTGAGACAATAAATTATGTAGAACATATAAAACGAGCAGTATAAGTAGTGTTTTAGCATTATAAAGTAAAAGATCTGAAGTAGAGTATATGAACTTAAGAAAAAAAAAAAGGAAAATGCAGAGCAAGGTACCTAAAGCACAAGCCAATAAGAAGGTATGCAAAGAGCAAACTGAGCATAAACATCACCATGATATCCAGAACAAAAACTACATCTACAAGCTAAAGAAAATTCACATCTTGCTCACAATCCTCTTCATTTCATGTTAATCAAAATGAAGATAGGACATGCCATGTCAAGTTTTTTTTTTTTTTTAATGAACATAATTAAATTTTTAGATCTAATGTTATCAAAAAAATAAAAATAAAAGACATCAATCTCAGAAGGGGAGCATAAACAAACATATGCAACATTCAGAACAAAATTTACAAGTTGAGGTTAAGTCAAGAGGAACATATCAAGCACGGGAGATTAGTGTGCTCAAATGATGGAAACCTCTGATTTATCATTCAACAACTCAAGTTAAACATAAACATATACGATGGAAACATTGAGCACTGAACTTCAGGAAAGAAGGAAGATTCTAGCATTAAAGCTTCAAGATACGAATAAATCGGCAAGAAAATTGATCAATTCGTGATAAAGAAGGGGCTTATTAAGGGAAGCATTTATATAGTAGGAACAATCCACCCTACCAAACAGTTTAATCCATTTTACCCTCTTAGCAATAATATATGCATCACTGCCACCTTGCTTTTAATAAGAGATGCAATCAAGAATATAAAAGATCAATTTTGACGCCTAAAAGCAAGTTTCTGTCAACAGAATCAAAGCATTTCATCATCTCAAACTCTGCTCAACCTTGGCTGTTTGGTAGCGAGTTTTAAGTAGGATTTACGCTAAAACCTGCCAAACGGAAAAAATTGCCCCTATAAATCCGCATCCGGCGTAAATCCGGATTTAAAAATCCCCTAGTTCGGCGGATTTAAGGAATTTACGACAAGATCGGCGTGCTTGTCGTGGAGAAAGATGGTTACCTTCGCAGCGAGCGAGCTCCCGTCGTGACTTTCGATCCGACGTCGGAGGAAGAGGCGTAAAAGCTTCTTCAGCTACCTTTCAACACACTAATTCCGCAGAACATGCAAGAGCGAAGCAGCACGGAATAAATCGCTACGAGAAAATCTAAGCGGAACGAGTAAATGGAGATGAATAAAACCAAACCCTAGAGAGAATCCATCTATATTACTAATTAATCTAATTAAGCATAATTATAGAATGATTATTAAATCCTAGATGGCCTTTAAAATATTAAAAATTAATTAAATTAATAAAATAATTAGAAAGATAATTAAGTGATCTGATTAAACTTAACTAAATAACTAGTTGCATAATTTGTTATTAAAAATGAATATAATTAGCTTAGGGTTTAGCATTTGAAATAAAATAATTAATTATATAATTAATTAATTAGTTAGTAGTAGAATATTTTAAGTTAATAGTATTATTGATAATTAAAACTAATTAAACAAATTCTAAATAAATAATAAAACCACTAGTAGAAGTACTAGTTACATAATTAGTTATTTCATAAAATAATTAACTAATTAATTAGATAATTATATATATAATTAAATATTAAATACTTCTTAAATTAACATCTAAAAAAATAGTTTGATAATTAATACTATAATTAGTAATTAAATTAATGATAATGAAGCAACTTCTAATTATCTTATTTATCATTATAATTTATTGACACTAATTAAAATTGAAATTAATTAGTAACACATATTTAACACATAAATTAAATTCAGAATACATTAAATTTAATTTTTTTAATGAGGCAATCCCCTTAAATCTCAAATTACATTGCCAAACAATTTTCCAATTGTACAAATTTAAAATCAAGTGTGATAGGGCTAAATGGCTGAAACTTCTCACGATGAGAAAAATAATGAAATTTTGTGCGAGTAAATGGACACAGAGAGTGTTATATATGAAATTAATTAAATTTGATATCAAAATATTTGAATATTGGATAAATTTGATCACAAGGCTTAGGCTTCATTTGGGACGACTTTTTTATTGCTTCTTAAAGCTATTTTTTTAATCCAAAAATTAAAAATTTTGTTCTAGATAGCTGTTTTAAGAAGCAGTAAAAAAGTCGTTCCAAATGAAACTTTAAACTCAAATTATTAATATGCTATATAAAAGATTTTACAGGTTTAAGAACACATGAGTGGCAACAAAGAGCTCTCTAACACAATAATACAATGGGAATGACCAAGCATTCCTTGGAATGATTTTGGTTAAAGGTGGAGTAAGCATGTAGTTCATATATCAAAGATAATATATAAATTATTATTTTATAGGTTTATTGATACCCTAAAACTTTTACTAGTAGCCATTAAGTTAACAATGGCTAGCTAACCTTAAAAGTTGTCCATGAAGCCTCTTAAAATTAATTTTCTTCAATTTTTAAGTACTTAGAGATGTTAGTTCATAATCTTTTCATTGTCTTTTAAGACAATGAATATGTGTGATATAGCAACTTAGAGCAATATACTTGACTTGTACCTTAGTGTAACAAAATTTTACTTCACACTAGATTATGATACTAAAGATAATCATAAGACATGAGAAATATTTGAGCTTATTTTCCTATCAACTTTGTGCCATGCATAATCAGCATTATAAAATCTTACAAGTATATAACTAGTATTCTCATAATATCATAATCCTATATTTGAAGTACTACTCAAATATATAAAGATTTGCTTAATAATGGTTGAGTGATCATTCTTGGGGTTTGTTAGAAATTCTGGCACATATGCATTAATATATATGATATCAGGTCTACAAGGAGACAAATATAATTTTGAACATATCATTCTTTGATATACTTTTGAATATATAGATATACCCTCTTCAGAAAGAGGAATTATTCTGTGCGGAGTCCGAACGGAAAGAACTGTCCGGATTTATTGTGTATTTGTAAATACTCAGTTGATACTTAACAAATACTTAGATGTGAGTATTGTTTAGTTTTGTTAAGTATTTGCTGACTTGGTACATATTTACTAGATATTTGCTGAGTATTCAGCAATCCGGGTGGTTCTTCTCGTATGGACTCTGCACAGAATATTTTTCCCTTCAAAAAGGGCTTATGGGGGCACCTATTAAGCTACATCCTTTCATATCAAATCAAATTATTAAATCATCCATATACTTGGGTTGAGATATAGAGTTTCTTTGCTTCACTTAAAGCTTGAGAAAGAAGTTGAGTTATATGCATCAAATCCATTTTGAATTCTTTGCGCAAACTCATGACAAAGATTTTCTTTTGTGCCTCTAAATTGAAGCTCAATTAAATAAATTTGGATATTAATCATATCATTATTTATTCTTTTGATATTTACTCTATCATTATAAAAACTAATTCACTCAAGTAATGCATAAGTTGTTGCCTTCAACTTGGCTATAATCTTGTGCTACCAATTTGGTTGAATTCATAATTACTGCTCTTGAATCATTAGCTTAATACTTATAAACTCATATAGTTTACATAATATGTTGATTTACAAGTCTTGGGAGTTATTTTCACATATCATTTCTAATGAATTAGTTTAACTATTTGTACATTATACTTACTCAAGAAAATAATATTGTATTGGTTTTAGCGGAGCAAATTTTGATTGGTCGCCCATCATAGATTTGAGTATATAATGTCCAAGTATTACATCCAACCACCAGTCATACAATGAAAGCACTCCTTCATAAAGTATAAACATGTTAATTTCAAAACTCAAACCATTAAGTCCATGCATGAAAATGAATGTGAGTAATTTGCAAAGTAGATGAGTTTAAAACTTGTGCTTAAGTAGATTTTGGAATCTAGTTGGGATTATACACTAATATTCTCCCTCTACAATTGTTATAGGTATTTCTCAAACTATCATAATATATACACTACATATTGGTGTAAATATGTGGATGATATTGAATGTCGTGTGATGTTCTTAGCATGAATTCTAAAATGTTTGAAGCTATTTAATCATGATATGGGAGGCTATTTGATAGGATTTATGGTTGAAAATGATTATAAATATTTAGTTTAATATGTATGAATGTGACCTAAACTTTATAGTGTGAAGGTAAGGTCTTTAGAGATATATGGTGGAACAAAATAAATGATTATCTTGAATTGGTTAGTTTAGATTGATTTGAATTATGTATTTCAGTAATGGGTTAGTTTCTAAAATGAGGGAAATTATGGTGAATGGTTAGACTAGGATGTGAACTTATATTGTCGAGTACTTGGTGATGTTTTATGAGATTTAAGGACTAATAATGGTGTGGATAACAAGACTAGGAAGATGTTTATCCTAGCTTAGCCAACAACTTAATGGAGGTTTTGAAATGGCTTTAAGGACCATGGTAGTGGATGGCTAGTCTTAGATAATGGTTAGAATGTAGAGGGAGATTCAAAAGAGGCTTAGAAGAGATGTTGATAAAGTAAAAAGAACTCACAAGATAAATAACCAATCCCACCAAGGAAAGATCAAACTAGACCATCAAGTACTAACGAAAAACTTGTCCACAGTATTTTTTTGACCACTTTTTGGGCTTAGTTCATTGTCATTCCATACTGGATGTTTCTGGACACCTTTATTAATTCCCCCAACCAAGTATTAATGCATATCTTTGATTACCTTGGCTAACAATTCTACCCATCCCTTGGTTGATCCAATAATTGCCTCCCATTAACTTGGTCGTATGGGGCCCCATCTATCTTTTCCCTTGCTAACCAAGCTTTCTATAGTCGCCTATTGGTCTCATCCATACAACATCTAGGTCCTCGACAGGATCCATCAACTTATTCTTTTAAGATGTTGACTCTTGTCCAAAATATATTTATTGTTATATGTTGCCTTTGTCTATTAGTGAACCTTTTCCATTCCATGAAAGAGGGAAAAATATATTGGGAAAGACCCCATGATGGGGACATCGGAGCTTGGAGGGTTAATCTCCATAGAGGTCAAAGATCTACGGCATTGACTGAGTCTTTATATTTTTAGTTTTCATGTATTTTAAGATATTTATGTGGTGTTATTTATTTTATTATTGTTTTACCCTCACTTGAGGGAGCTTTTGTATTGTTTGTCCAAGGGCCTTCTTGTCTTTTGTTCCTTTCATAATTTTTTTTTGTCTATATATATGGCCCATTGTTCTCTTGTATGGATGATGAGTGAAAGGCAAAGAAATACCCAATAACGTGTGAGCTCTTAGTTGATATCATCTTCCCTCTATATCTCTTTCTTCTCCTTCCCTAGCCACCCAAACATCCTCCCACTGCAGCAGCAACTTGCTTCCTTAAACTAACAGCCACCTCCATTACCTTCCTCTATAACCGCCTTCACCTTCTCCCCAACACCCTTGACCCTTGGGCTTCCCAATTATGCATTTAATTTACATTAATTTAGCATTTATGTCAGTTAATTGTGATCTTCGAAGGTCCATAACTGCTTTAACTTTTTTCCTTTCCAAACAAGCCACATCAGTCCTTTCTCTTCCCCAAGCAGCCAGCCTCGCCTCTTCACCTCCCAAAGCTAACTTTTTTCTTTCACAAGCCAACCAATCCCGTCCCTAAGCAAACCACATCAGCCCTTTATATTTCCTAAGCAGCCAACCCCCACCTCTTCACTTCCAAAGCTGGCTTCTCCCTTTCCAAGTCACTAAAATCGGCCAAATCATCTCTCCCATCCTCCTCCCCATGAAGCCGGCCTAGCTTTCCCCTCTAAACACCAAAATAGTGAGCCTCTTCTTTTCCAAATTAAACCCTCATCTAGCTGAAAACTTTTTTTTTTCTTTTTTTTCTTCCCCCACTATTCTACCTCTCCAAGGAAACTTAATTTCTACTAATGCAACAAGGACATTGATTCAACTAAGAGCAAGGGTTTTAAGGGCAAGCCAATGAGGAACTAGCCATCATTTCATCAAGAACTCCATTCCTCCTATTGAGCTAAGTATCAAACCCTCCCCTTGTTTTTCAGCTAACTAAATATTGGTCTTCTCATTTCAACTATAGTTGCATCATCTCATATTTGTTGATTAATCCGTCAAGTTCTACTTAAATTTGAGCGAACAAAACTCTAGTGACTAGTCCCTTAATTAAATGTTAGACTTGTGTCAACCCATGTTAGGTAGTCTAAACCGGTTCGCCTTTTTTTATTGTTTAGCATTTACTTGTTAGTTTCTTACTACCACATGATCTAATAATTCAAATATTCTTATTGTTCTTAATGTTTTATGAAGTTTATTTTGTTGTCTTTGATGTTATCTCAGCATAAATCTCTATTTGTATGACTTATTTCATTTAGTCCTGCATAATTTCATTTAGTCCTGCATAATTTCATCCCCATTCTATCCTAATTAGGAAAATGTAACAACTAATACTTCCCTCCATCTACCCTGCACAACTTTTATTAACGTGATGGATGAGTCGGCCGGCTTTCCCTCCTATAAATCTCATCTCCTCTTGGCTTCCCCTTAGCATATTCAACCTCTTAGAGGATAATTCAAAAATTGCCTCTAACAGAAGCTCTTCTCACACAAACTCTGAGACACTCAAAGGAGAAGAGTGTGGTTCCTACTAATAGCCATGAGCTCTAAGCACCTTTGAATGTCCTCTCATAATGCTAGACTTAATATTATCATAAGGCCACTGAGAGTGCAAACAAGTCACAATAGTTGACCCCATGAGAGAGAAATCACATTAGCACATTTCTATACTTTAGAGTTAGATACCCTTTCTCTCTAGCAATCACCACACCCTAAACTCAACACCTCCTCTTAACCTCCTCAGGTAAACCATAAAAGAACCAATATCTTCTTCAACTCCATTACTAAATTTCCTATGAGCCATTTAGCCTAGTTTTAAGTGTAAGAACCCTCTAATCACTTACATCACTTGGAAATTCCTATGAAACTCTAGCATCCCATTGGATTTGCCACCTATCAAGCCATCAACCATTCTATCATACCCAATGATTGATGATAACGACTGGTACTAAGGGAAACTAGATAACATCTTTTCAAAAGTTCAAATTTAACCCCATTCACTCTTGGTTTATATATATATATATATATATATATGAATTCTTAAAAAAGATTCAACTGATGACAGCCTGACAAGAGCTCAAGTTGGGCACATTTACTCATCAAATATGGCTCTCAAAACAATATAATTTAAACTTCGTTTGGGACAACTTTCTTATTGATTCTTCAAGCAGCTTTGTAGTGCAAAAATTTTACAAAACTGCTTTAAGAAGCAGTAAGAAAGCTGTCCCAAACGAAGCCTTAAGCCAATACACAACCCAAGTTTGCTCAATTGCACTCCAAACTTCACAATTCAACCATTTTTACACTGTACAGGAGTAACAAGTGAAATTATAAGTTTTAGGCATTTAACAAAAATAAAAATAAAATGTGTCAGACACACTTAGGGAATTCGAATGAAACATTAGTGCATATGGAACTAGCTATGCTAAGAAAGAACTTCCACAAAATCATTTCTCATCTGACAAAACTTACAGAAAGAAACCATAGAAATTCATGGATTCATCTGTTAGTATTTTCATCAAAATGTTATATGAATATGTTACATCTAATAAGCAACATTTCTATAAGAACCAAGAAGTATTAATTTGACTACATATGGAAGATCTATCAACTTCGTAGCCAATTTGGTCTATTATTTGCTGAAGAAAAGCTGATAAATTGCAAGCATAACCAGCTTAGTCCATAAAAATATATTGATCATACCATAGAGACCAATTTCTAATTGTAATGCTTTGTCCATACTGGTATTGAGTATATGAGAGTTCCTGCAGCAAATGAGGGAAGGATAGTCAAAATTGCGTAGGAAAGAGCTCTCCCAGGGTGCCCACTTTGCCTCATGGCATAAACTTCTGCAACAAAGGTAGACACAGTGCTCAAGCAACCAAGGAAACCGAACTGGACTCCACTCAAAATGATTGTGCATCTTTTTGTGTTCACCTGCTCAAACATTATCCAAAACAATGTTCGCTAGTAAGGAAATAAAAAATAAAAAGCTAAGTTTGTAGCCATGTTTCAAATCAAATAAGAAATATATATGTTTTATCAAATAAACGGACTGCCATTTCGAATATTTAGAAGTTTATCCAACTAGATGAATTCAAGCATCGAAAGAAATCTTCTCAATTGGTTCAAAACAAAATTGATCAAGGGAAATTTCAAAGGAAAGCACAAAGTGAAGACCAAATGAAATTCTTCTTCAAGAAGTCCGACAAAGCAGAAAGCACAGGACTGAAGAAGTTATCCCGATATTTGCATAAAAGGTTACTATCTAGCGAGTTTGAATGAATTTTACACAACTTGAAAAAAAAAACTTTGTTTCTTGCTTGAATAAGACTTCTTTTGGGACAACTTTCTTATTGCTTTTAAACTTTTTAGTAAAAAAATTTTTAAACTAAAAATTTTTATATTAGGAAGCTGCTGTAGAAAATAATAAAAAAAAACCGTCCCAAATGAAGCCTAAAATTTAATTTGAATTAGCAATTATTTAGTGTCTAACCAACTTACCTAGAAATCACTTGATTCTAAATCTACTCGAGACTGATCAAGTGAATATGCACATACTTATATTTAGATATTTTAAGTATACTCGAACTATATTGGAGTGATCAAAATCAATTTCCAGTGAAGAGTGAAGCTTGAAAGTTAGTTTCAAGGATTATTTTTACCAGCCTTACTAATATCACTAAAATAAGTAAACTAAAGGGAGTTAAAAGTGGAAGGTACGACAAATATAAAGCAGAACAAATACATTTATAACATTATACTGCATAAAGAAAATTTTCTTAAGAAACAAGCTCAATAAAAATAGGTAGTCAATGATCATACCGCCTTGCTGATTGTTGCAAGAGCTGCCATAAGGCATGCTGCAAGAAAATTAGCCAATAGTGTCCCAATGGGGAGCCATTTGAGAGAACCCTTCTTTCCTAGGCCCTGGCCATTAAGCCTAGCAAGGTACCATCGAGCCCAAACACCAATGGGACCAACCAAGCAGCCTAACCAGAGGACAGCGCCACTGGTGGGATTGTCTAACTTTTTTCTCGCTAATGCACCACTCAAGCACCATAATGACACCCAGATTGCTAACATGAATATCATAACCATAACGTGCCGCTTAAATGTATCCAATTTCAGCTTCATAAGCTTGTTTTTGGTTCTCTTTGGACATTTTTCAATCCATTGCAAGAAACAACTACGGAGCCACTCAGCAGATTCCACCCCAATATTGACACACTCATTCACAATTAACATGCCTGCAAACCAAAATATATGATAGAAAAAGAAACTTCAGTCATTGCCAATAATTCTATCATGATTCTTAAATGATACAATCTAATCAAAGTGACATCCAATAATACTATGAAAAAATTGTTCAATATCAATATTATGAGTATAAACTCATATAACTTCCATGGAAAAAGAAATTCCAAGTTTTTTCCCAGTCCAAAATACGCAATTTGGGAAGATGTTTGATTTGCTAGAAAATTAGAAATAGAAGTTATTGTTTTAAGCAATTTGTGGGGGAGATAGACTTCTAAAAATTTAAGATGAACCCTTGTTTTTTATTGTAAGGCTCAAAATGTATCATGTATGAGGTTTTGAAGTTAAATTCGTCTTTATTTGGTTTTCCCAAACAAGACATCGAAGCAACCCATTAATGCAAAGCCTGCTACTGAAATTGATTTAAATTCAAACAAAGCTGAACCAAATTTATTATTTCTATTGGTTCTATTCATTATTTTTGTTCAATAACTTCTTTTTCTATTTCCAAACTGCTCAGTCCAATACATATGGAGAGCATTTTATGTTAACCATATATTAATGAAGCATAGTATTAAGCAAATATAAATTTAATTTTTCTGGAATACCTAAAATAATGCCTGCGACCGCATAAGTCCAGTGACCCTTTGAAGACAAGTTGAGCATTTTCTGGTTCCATCCACTAAAAGTTGTAAGACTTCCCATGTAACCTGTTGTTATTCCGATCACCAAATGTTCAGATACATCTCGTAAATCAGCCTTGAATACAATGCCAAACCAACCCATAAGAAAAGAACCCAACTGCAAACAACACGCTCTAGACTTATTAAATAAAAAATCATGATTACATTTGACGAATATATGTGAAGTAAAAGAAGGTACCATGTTTGAGGGGAGATCAAGGTAAAGGGGTGTATCATCTCCTGTAAGGGCCAGAAGATCAGGACCGAATAGCCTTTCCAGTAAATATCTCGTTAAAACCTGTAAGTTAGAAAAAAGATGAAATAAGAATAAGAGTAATGCAGACTAAATAATTCATTTCTGCAATGGATATGGACATCAGCAAAATTCATTTCTGCAGATGTGAAATAAAGATGTAGACATCACTCTTGATTTTTGGCTTAGCACCTTCTCTGCCCCCTAATATCTGTAGTTAAAGGTATCCTATATTACCTAAGCCCTTTTATCCCCTTGGACTTTTAGGCTAAGCCCGTTTATCCCCTTGGACTTTTAGGCAAGATCTAAGTTGTCTATTTATCAATATATTTGCTATTTTTCTGTGCTTGTTTATAGCAATGTTGCTCTCATTAAGCCTCCCATTAGGGAGAGATTATTCTGTGCGGACACCAGACTGTAGTGTCCGGTACCGCTTGGTACTAAGTACGGTACCGAGTGTACCGACGCTCAGTACTGCTCGGGACTGTGCTCAATACAGAGCACTGTACACTTTTGGGATGACGTGACGCATTTTTATTTACGTATGAACAATGTTCGGACTCCCCACTGAACAATTTGCCCGCACTAGGTGTCCCATCTCTGCCCCAATCGCCACCTACATTCTCATCTGACAACCTAGATATAGCATCTCTACAAAAATTAAAAATCATTTCGCATTCTATCTCTCTCCAAATATCCAGACTATCTCCATCTCTCACTCCTATTGTCTCTGTCAACAACGATCATGCCCATCATCAAATGTTTTCCTTCCCATCATGCCATCGCCAATCATCCATCATGCTCCAACCCCATCGCTCTAGTTCCAACCCTCCATTTGTCCAATCTCGTCAAGCTAGATCTCATTTGATCTCAAGATAACGTTAGATCTACTTGCACTCAACCACGATCTATTGTTACAGCCACCGTCTCGCCATGCATCTCTAGCAATATCGATCCATTATGTCATTCGTTGAACCACATCTCTCACTAGCTCCCAATTCCATCCCAATCTAGATCTAAGCTTGCATCTACCAAATCTCAATCCTCTGCACTAGATTTGCCCAATCCAAGCTATCGCGCCAGTTCTCCTCCTCGCTAGATCTCTTCACTTTTGATTCCATCTTTCCCGTTGTTGTTTGTCACCGAAACGGATGATCCACCGTGTAGTCATCGCCAAGTGGCCTACGCCCATATCATTGAAGATCTTGTTGCTGCCTCATCCCTCTAGTGTTAGTCTTATTGCCCCCAGCCTCCATGGATGCCTCAATCAGATCTACTCAGCTCTCTTTTTGCTCAAGCTATCCCATTCATAGTTTTCCAACCCATGGCTTAAATCTTGGCATATTTTTTCATTTCCATTTAGTCAAATTTTGAGGGCAATGTCATTATGAACGGATTGGTAATGACACGAAGAACTGTAATTATAAATTTGGATGAGTTAGTGTTATATTGGTGAAAAATTATTCTATCCGGTCATCGAACGGCATTCAAAGGTGAAGGAGAGCACGTCATGCCATTTTGTTGTTGTATACCGCTGCTCTGTGCCACTTGGTTTCGAGTGATGTGATGCGTTCTAATTCACCTCATGATTGTTAGATGAACGCACAGAATAATTTTTTGTATTGAGACAGTTTTATTAAGTTTTTTAATAAAATATGAGATATCATCATAGCATATAAATAATAATGTGGAGTATTAAGACACCCAAGAAAAGATGTAGAAACCCCTGAGCTTTGGCTCAACACCCTCTCCTCAAATACTTGGTAGTTATACGCATTTTATATTGCCTTAGCCATGTCTCTCCCATTACCTAGAGTTTTAGGCAAGCTTTAAGTTGCCCATTTATCAAATATATTTGTTGTTTTATGTGATATTTATTGTTTGTGTTAGAACATGAGAAGGCAATTTGACCAAATATTTCAGAGCAACATGAAAAGTAGCAGCCAGTTTAAATTTCAGCAAACAACTGTAATGTAAAAATATCAAATTCATTCCAAGTAAAATCCTTCAAATGAGAACAAAGGTGAGAAATTTACCCCGAGAATTCCAAAAACAGCCAAGTGGATCAAGTATGAAATATAATCTAGACTTGGAGGCAGTCCCCCCTGCTTATCCTGCAGATAAAATTGTAATCGTCATTTTTCTTTTGCTTCACTTTCTTTTTTGAGTAAGTAGCTAAGAAATTCAAGCGCACTATTCAGAATTTGCTTGCTTGGGAAGTTTTTCTTTCCTTCCTATGCATTGTAAAGTTATAACAATAGAAATATAAACTTATGCGAAGCAGTACAATTAAAACCTTCTTGCTAAAGCAAATAATCCCCAAATATGTAAGCAGTGAACCTCAAAAAATTAAAATCAAAAGCTTTAAGCTTTGTTTGGAACAACTTTCATTCTACTTCTTAAAGCAGCTTTTTAGTACAAAAATTTTTAATTTTGTATTAAAACATTGTTTTAAGAAGCAAAAAAAAAGCCGTCTCAGACAAAGCCTTAATAAATCTTGAAAAAATACTTTTTTTTCTGGCTCACCTTTTCTGATGCAACATGCATGTTCTGCATCTTATCCTTCTCAGTAGAATGCAGCATCAGATTAGCAGGAAAAGGAGACGAGCTATCCTCTTCCAAGAGATAAGCAGGTGAGCCCAAATTCGCACCAGAAGGTTTAGAAGGAAACCCATCTGATACGATCTTCACATCAATTGATGAACGCTTGAGTCCATTCTCAGTAGGAATTCCCAAATTCTCAAGCTCATTGTCATCTTCTTCACGTCCAATCTTGTGATACCCGCTATCTCCTATTTGCGCTACAATAGAACTGTCAACCTCTCCAAAAATGTGACCAACTAGTTCCCTTGAAAGACTGATAGACTCCAACATCTGATCACCCAGATCCCTTGAAAGGCTATATGAACCTCTCCGTTTGGAACCTCTATAACTAAGCCTACCGAGGGAATCTTGTATTGATTCATTTGTGATAACTGAGGTTGACTGTCCATGAGAAGAATTCCTGGAGACTGTTCTGAAGGATTTGGCGATGCCGCCTCCACGGCTAGAAGCACTTTTAACAAACTGCTCAGTATTTGTGGAATCCATACTCCGGCGATCCTCATCAGATCTCACGGCGGATAAGGCGTCACCACTGGGCCATGTATTCCTTTCCATAGCTCGCTGCTCTCTGCAAGAATAACCCAAGGAAAGGGTAGGAATTTAATCAAATATCATGCAGCACAGTTTCCTGTATGTTCTCAGAAAAACACACTACAGAAAAATAGCGTATTTCCGGCTAATTTTCTGACCGAAAAATTTCCGCAATAAAACGATTTCGACCATAAATCGAGCGTCAAAAACTTTTCTATCGGAAAAAAGACCACAGGAAAAAATTCCCGGCGGCTGTCAGGCGGAAAACTAGACAGGGCTTGCATCATTGAATGGATCTCGACACTGAAAATATTAGCTAGTCTGCTGTCAGGTGGAAAGATTACATGGGAAGAAATTTTCCTGAAAATCAATGAAGCTATTATTTATTTGGCCTAACCAACCGAATGCTTACCATTGAATTAGAAACTAACTAGTTTTTTAACAGTGAGGAGGTATCAGAAACAAAAGGACGATGTCTTCAACTCAAAAGGCATTGACCAGCTAATGAGAATCTTATGTTCCAAAAAGCTATCAGATCAATTAATTTCCATGCAAATTCCCCATATGTTATTGCAGCATGCGTATCAAATGAAGCTTCTTCGAAATTTTCAGAAGCCAATTCGTAATAGGATTCAACGTGGAATTAAATAGAGAAAAAAAAAAACAAATGGAAGCGACATGGAAACCGAACCGCGGTGAAGGATGTAGAGGCGGAGAGGAAGACGAAATGGAGATTCAGGATCTAGCAAAAGCGCCAATGGAGGGATGAGATCCTGAGACGCTTGGAACCGCTGTCTCTGTTCAGTGGCTCGTCGCCGGTGATGAAGCCACAGCTGATCGGCGGGGAGAGGACCGGCAAGAGACGAATGGCGAGAATTACGTTCGTTACCGAAGTATATTAGCACCCACACAATTATCGGCCGTATGAAACTGATCTTGACTTTCCACGAGTTGAACGTAAGAAAGCCACGTGTTCGAATCTTGAGAGGCCCAGGATCCTTAGTCAGATCAGGTGACGGTGACTGATGAGGCTTCTGATGTATTTATGTGAAAAGCGGCGGTCTTTGGTCCATTGCTTTATATATTTTATTCGAAGCTGGAAATTTCCGTTAAATTTCCACTGAAACTCTTGGCTCGGCGAGTCGGCGTAAATCTCACGGCGGAGTGCACGTTAAAATACAGAGGGACAACTTATCTTTACTTAATATATTTCATTATACTATCACTAATAATGTTGCACTTTATTATTTTTTACAACTATATAATAATTTTTATGTCGTTATCGTTTATTTTGCTTCTTTGGTATAACTGAATTGGAACACAGGAAAATACATATAGCCTATTACTGTAATGAGAGGAGATATATGATATCATAGAAGAAGTTCTGATTTATGTGTTGTTTTCTTCTTCTTCTCTACCTGTTTTTTGTGATTTCTTACATCAATTGGTATCAGAGTTTGAGCTCTTGGAACATGCAGATTGCAGTAACAAGGAATCTGGAGAAGATGAGGGAAGCATGGAAGCATTGTGGTCATCTTAGATGAAGGTGCTGCACCAACTCAAGGAGCTAACCTCATAGTTCATTCATTTCAATGTGGAAGTTTGCAAGGAGTTCAGTCATTTGAAGGCTTATTTGAGAATGCGTCCAGAATTCCATTGTAAACATCTATGTGGGTCCTCGAAAGGATGTTGCGAGCAGAGATCAGAATGCAAATGATATGATTGTATTATCCCGTAAACGGTCGTAGGCCTTTACACTTTTCGCAAACAGGCCATTGGGAGAGCAGATAGGATTATACATACGATTAACCATGAAAGATATTAGTTTTCACATGCATATCTCAATGGGTAATAATATATATGACCCGATAATCACGATATTTCTCCCATTTTTACATCAGCTCAAATGAATTTTATTTTATGTGGGTGTCAGTTTTCCACGAGCACAAACCCCTGTGGCTAGTTACATTCTAAGCCTCAATCTATAAAAAACTCGATTAAAGAAGCTTTATTATTCTCTTTTAAGTTTAATGTATAATAGAGGATCCTAGGTTCTAATCCAAAGGGAATAACTTCTCCTCTTCATCTTTTGTGAGAATAAGATCTTTAAATGTATCTATTTAATTAAAATTTTGAGTTTAAAATATCAAAGACTGATTTAACATCTAAAAAAGAACTATTGATTTAGAATTCATTTAGCATTCAAAGAAAACACGTTGAGGGGTGTACAATTTGGGCTTATGCTTGCCTGGAGTAAGCTGCCAGCTAACATCCTAAATACAATCAATCGTCTTATATATGCAAAATAGGAGGACTCTATCCTAATGAGTCAAGGATTTTAATTTAGAAGTTTAAATCAAATCAGGGATTGTGTAATACACAAATAAATCTACTTAGCATCATGTATGATGCATGAAATGGATGCAAAAAAAAAAATATTTTATTCATTTATTTGAAAAATAATTACAACTCAGGATCTGTAAAAAAGTAAAGTGGTCAGACTCCGCCACAACAAACCTAATTTTCTACTACTATGAAATATATGTTTAAATATACTTGCTCATTATCTTTTAACTCTGAGACTTCTATAGGATTCTAAAAGAGAACACCCCAATTGAGGGAATTATCTTTTGGAGTCCTATATGTATACGTATAAGTAAATATTTTTAAGCCTTTATAACTCGATGAATTGACATACCATACTTTTTTATTAAACAAATGTCTGTGAGCAAGAAGAGAATAAAGAAAAGTTTCCTAGTGAAGTAATCGACAAAATGCTGATTCACTTTAGAAGTTTCATGCAAGCATGACTTAAGCTGACCATTTCTTATTCCTTTAAGGCGCCTCTAGTGGACTTGGCGGTGATCCTTTCTCAAACCAGAACTTCCATTCCAATTCCAAACATGCCCGACTCAATCACACCAATGAAAATATGAAAGCATTTGTAACAGTTGCGGAGCAAAGAGAAAAATGAGGTAGTGGAACTGCAGGAAAAACCTATAGGGATTAGTGCGTGAAATCGCACTAACTGGCACCGACACATGGGACTCCTTTAAGAAATGTTAAAAGGAATAGATTCGGAAGTTAAGCGTATAAGCTTTTTTTAATTGTGGGCCAGCCACTCATGTAGTATACATATATAGGTCTTGGTTTAGAACTTAGCTAAACTAAGGGCAGTTGGTTGTAGACAACCAATCCACCCAAGATGACAAGCAATATAGCTAGGCTTTACTGGACCACTACAGGAAACTTTTGGCTAGCAAGCTACGGGGCAAATTAACCTAACAAAAACTAGTGATAGTCAGTTTCTTTTCATGTAATGAAATGTTCGGCCTATCCAGAAAAATTGGCGGCCCACGAATGTGGTTCTGATCCCTCCGGTGATGCCATATGTCGTTTAATCGTTTTGATATACGATTTTATCTGGTTTCTATTTTCCTTCGTGCAAGTTTGTTTGCTTCCTGCACAGGCTTGACTCTTCGACTAAGGAGGTTAGTGCCCTATCAACCATACATTTCGCATACTAGTGAAAACTAGAATAAAATCCTTCATTAATTAACTACAAGTACACAGAGAAGAAGAAAAAGGACATTCTATACTAAAAAGAAAATGCTAACACTTCTAATGGCTATTCCACTGGTTGGTGCCCACTCAATGAAAAAGCTAGTCTCTTTTTACTTTGGAGGGATCATTTTGATCTTAATGAGAAGCCCACCTTTGTAGATTACATGAAAGAAAAGGTGTGGAATTTCCCTCGCTAACAAGTAAATGAGTGAATATTGTGTAAGTGAACGGGGAGCTACGGCTGATCGAAAAGCGAAGATAGGTGCATAATTCAATGATATATTCATGAAAAAGGGAACTCACAGAGGTAACGATCCACCTTATTTTCCAAGGTAAAAGAGTGCATGACCAGTTAGAAACAAAAATAAATAGGAACATCATTTTGGACACTTTATATTTACAACTGACTCTTACATATACATTTGCACCTAGATACATTCTAGCTACTTCGCTTTATTTTACAAGCATCTTAGATACATTCTAATTTAACATTTTATTTGAACATCAATAATATGATGTATGTATTCATACAGAGTGCACTGTGAAGTACGGTGTATAAAATGCATGAATGACATCTATAGTACAAAAAATAAACAAAAATATCAAGGATACCCTCTAGGCAAAGGTACACGTATCACACCAAAACACGCTAACGGCCTAGCCTAAGACTAGAGCCAGTAATCCTAACAAACAAGTTTTAATGTGCGTAAAATGTCGTGTGTTTTTTATATGTCCTAGAAGATTTATTGTTTAGGTTATTTAAATTTGGAGTTATTTATTAGTTATAGGTCAAAGGAGATTTTAACTTAAATTTTAAGTTTTAATATTTTAAAATTTTAATAATTAAATTTTAGAGAAATTTATTTGTTTGAGTTATTTTATTTTACATTTTAAAGAACCATATTAATTAATGGCTTCAAAGTACAAAAGCACTAATCCAAGTCTTAAGGCTCATATAATTGTAATATTATCATTCTCTCATACAAGATAGGATTGGTCGCATAGAATTCTTATATTTTAATTAATTGTTTTGCTCCTTTGGAGCTTTCAATCTACTACATATTTGTCTTCCTAAACGAAGTCAAGCACAATGGTATAAAGCTCTAATTTATTAATATTTTATTAGTAATTATTTAGGTTGAATAATTATTATCTTATTTAAATCAAGGTTATGAGATTTATTTCATCCTCATTGAGACTAAGTTAATAACTTCGTAAGCCCAGGTTATCCAACAATCACCTTGGCTAATTATGTTTGATTGTTTGTAAATACTTTGAGTTAATTATTTATTAAAGGGCTTAAGAATCTAATGCGGTCATGTCTTCCAAGATGAAGGCAAATATAGCACATAAAATCCTAATTAATTATTTAAAGACTCTCCAATCAAATGTATATGTATTTTCTAACACATGAGTTGAATATAATGCATAAGGGCCATTTTGTTATTTAAAATTGTTTAGAAATTTTTAAATCTAATGCTAATGTGCCCTCCAAAAGAATCAAACACTAAGCATGAAAGGTTCTTTAGTTATTTACTTAGTTCTTTGATTAATGGATTCATTTAATTACATCAAGTTTAATTATGTTAATTATTAAGTCTTATTTTATTTGATATGATTAAAATTGGATTTACTTTATTTAAAAATTTAATGATTTATTTGAGTTTTAACTATTGTTTAATTAATGTTATTTAATCATTTAAGTTTAATTATTTAATTTTTATTTTAAAATTTTATCATTATTTTTTTATTTTGCCGGTTTAATTTAATTCATTTTAGGTTATATTGTTAATTTATTTAATTTAAATCCATTAATAATTTTTATTTATCAGCATGCGATAAATTGAATTTTTTTATACTTAATTATTTTCTTTATTAACATATTTATATTATTATACATATTATGAATCATGATAATTAAAGAAAAAAAAATTCTAATTGTGTGGAAATAAATTATTGCTACGCATATCTAAATTTGTCACTAATGAATAAAGTACTACTTACTAGCGGGACAATGGGTTTGAAAAAAATTAAATGCATGGTTTCTATAAGGACCTAAAGTTTAAAGTTTGGGGATCATAATCACATGCAAGGCTTAGAGGACCTAGAAACTCTAAGTTTATAGAATTTATCTCATCTGAGTTAGTCAACGTTGCATCGACTGTAGTATCTACATTTGGAAGAAATGGAAGCGACATAATGCTCCCTAAATTGTTGTCCATGTAGCTCCAACATGTATCGCAAATAATGCGAAGAGAAACGCATATGTTAGAATTTAATGCACTTCAATTTTTTTTAAATGTATAGACATAGAAATTTGATAACAACACTTGAGAATAACCAAACATGTTAATAAAAAG